CCCTCTCATATGCCCCTAACAAAAGGTGGTCACATAAAGATCAAAGCAGACCTGCCTTTGATTTCCCTTCCAGAGAGTCAGCATCCATTTTGTGCAGTGTCCTTTGTGCCTCTTAGAAGCTATAATGCTTCAAGGTGGCAGAATGTTGTGCTTTCGTCGCCGCAGAAGCCATCATTAAGCAGCAGCATCCTAGGAAATAGTGAGGGAAACCCTTAACTTCAAGGGTGAAAATGGCCAGGGACCAGCTGGGCCCCTTTGTTCCGCATGATCCCATGTCAACCTTCGCTTTCTTTGCTACTTTCAAGTCATCTGAGGTTTTAAACTTGCATTCAAGTGTGGATTTCTAAAGACCCTGCTGGAAGTAAATTACTACTTACCTTGAGGGGGGAATATATTAAATATTTTAAAAATTACTAAGTCTGGTAGTTTTTCTAGGATTAATAATCTCATTTAATAAAAAAATACTGAAAACAATGTTTATTTCTGGGCTCTACTCAAAAGTAAAAACGCACATATGTAGAACTTGTAATTTACCAGTGGCAGCCACTCAACCCAGTGGTAATAATTCCTGTTTTTAACTATACTATGGTCCTTGAATAGTCCAAATTAGGCTTTCTCCCGCTGCAGCATGGTTTTTGTTTCTTTATAAAGCTCAGCAGGCTTTTAGAAAGGAAAATTGTAGGTATACTTCTCACTGATTGGGCAGATTTCTTCCGTTCAGTTATGGCCTCTGCTAGTTTTTAAACGTCTGCTTACAGCATAGAAGCCTGGGAAGTGTAGTAGTGGCCATGCGTGCATGTGTGTTTGGCTGCTTGTGCTCAGCCTCTATACAGCGTTGCTGCAGCTGGATCCACATGTTCAGCTCATCTTCTGTAAGCATCCGCTGGTCTCACTCTGCCCCATGCTCTCCCACCTGAGGAATTAGAGCATGACCAGAAGCACTAGCACAGCCAGCCGGGAAAGGAAGACAAAGTGACAAGATTCACTGTGCTTACTGTTTCATTGGAGACAGAGCCTCATTATCTGACCCAGGACGGTCCCAATGTCTCCAGTCTTCTGCCCCAGCCTCTCAAGTGCCACGGTTGTAGGCATGTGCCATCACACCCAATTGTTTTGTTTTAAACTTTTGAACATACAGCTTATGATTATTAAGTTTTGGGTTTTGTTTTTTGTTTTTTTTTTTTTTTTTTTTTCGATATAAGGCTGATCTAGTTGTAAAATCTACACTCTTTCTCTAGGCAGTGTTTCATTTGTTCTAAGTTTATACAAAGTCTTTATTAACACACAATTTTAACAATTTCAAGAAAGCAATGGCAATGTCTTCTTACCTACTGAGGCCTACAAGCCCTTGGCCCCACAGGGACTAAGTTAAGACTGTCTCCAGGTAACATGCAAAGACAGTTATGCCATATTTAATTGAAGATGGTTGTTGGTACACTCCTGTGATGCCATCACGCGGAATGCAGACAACTGGTTCAGGAAGATTTAGATTCGTGCTGTATAGTAAGAACTAGGCCAGCCTCTGCTCCATCACAAGATACTGTCTCTAATTAATTAATTAATTGATTGATTGATTGATTGAAAAGGGATTCACAATTCCAAGTGGTACCCATTTTATTTCGAGGAATGCTTAAATTTAATGTCTTGCCGTTCCCCTTCTCATATTTGCCCCTCTTGAGAATCAAAGTATGAAAGGCTAAAAGCACTAGAACGAAGATGGTAGTTACACTATGCCCCTGAGGGCAAACTGCTCTGTCCATTAAAGGTTGGATTGAAAGAGTTAAACTGGCCTCAGGCTGGAGAGATGACTTGCCAGACAAAATGCTTGTTGTGCAAGCATGAGGACCTGAGTTCAGATTCCCAACATCCATAGAAAAGCGGCCACGGGCAAGAGAATGGACACAGGCAGAGCCCAGGGATGCTCTGGCTGCCCAGTTTAACTGGCATGGTGAGTTGCAGGTCCAGTGAGAAGCCCTGTCTCAAAACTAAGGTGGAAGGCGTTTAAAGAAAGCATTGTCTTGTCAGCCTCCACATGCACCCACATGCTCACAAGAAACTCACATCAAATGTATGTGTGTCTTAAATGAAGCCAGATCAAGCCCCGGTGCTCCTGGGATTGGGTAAGAACAAACTCCTGTATCAGAGATTGGATTGGAACATTTAAGAAATTGATCTCACACTGGGGGTAGGGGGAGGTAAAAATGAGAAAATGTATACTTCACAAGTAGGAAAAACAACCTCACTATTACCACTGTTTGATGTTGGGATGTTTGCTTCCCTGTGACTGATCACATCCATGGCTGTGACAGACAGACCTAGCTAGTATCAAGATCAGGATTCATAAGGCCCCAGGACAAAAGCATCTTGACTCTTGGGCAAGAGATCTGAGTTTAATCTTGACTCAGCAACCCAGCTGGTTGTTTGACTTTGGCCTCTCTGTGCCCATTTCCTGTTGGTCAGGTGGCAGTACTCCTCTTCACGCTGTGGTGACTAACTACAGTGACCTTAATGTCTGCTGTGATAAGGCTGAGCAAGGTCCCAGTCAGCGAGTCCCTGCTCTGTACCTTGATTTGCACTCACGGTTTGTTTGGAGGTGACTTTTGGTCCTCAGTCAGTCTTCTTTTCCAGTAAAAGTTGTCAAAAGTAGCATAGAGTGTTAAAAGAAAACAGAAGTCTTCATGGATACAAATCAGATTTCAGTCTCTCAGGCTAGAGAGTGAAGAATCCAGTGTTTGTCACTGGAGGATGTCCCCCTGATGTGGACACTAAAAAGGAAAGCACTACTCAGATGAGCATGCTGGGTAAGGACTTGGGTCTGGTCTTCATTGGGTTCTGTCCTGTAACCTCTTCCAGGTACCTCCAGCACGTGGGACTTCCTGGTGAAATTTGTCACCTTATGTGGACAAATTAAAGTCCAGGTGGCTTCTGCTTTGCTGTTGTCCTTCATCCCTGTAAACATTTGAGGCCTTGTGAACTCACCTTGAAAGTAATAGAACCAATTCTACTTTTGTCCAGAGTTACAGCACATAGGTCGACATGATTTTCCCTTGCATTTTTTCAAGCCACCAGTCTAGATCTAAATGTGCATTAACTTAATAAAATCCCCAAGCCTTTGGAGGGAAACATTTTTGAGCATTTATTCATTTCCGTGGAATTTGCTAGCCATTATACCCAGCCATGGGCAGAACAATGCAAGTGAATAAAAACAGCGTATCTTGAGAGAGCTTATAGTTGAGGTGGAAATACCTTGAAAAGAAATGCAAAGCAATGTACTAGTTACAGTGGGTACGTTATAAAATATAATGAGTTGATATATATAAACGACTTCTTATTGCTAGTACTATATTCATCAAATCCTTACTCTCAGCCCCATAAAGTAAACGGAGTCATCACCCCAGCTGTCCAGGGAACACTGGGACACTAGGAGTGCTGGTCCAGTATGCAAAGTTTGTTTCACATGAAGGATTGGTTGCCTTAGAATCTTTGATAATGTGAGATTTTTAAGCACTGAGGTAATTACGTGCAAGAGTAGTTTAGTTTAGGGGCAGAAGGATTGCTTCTGACTTTCTAGATAGATTTGATTTTGATTAAAATGCAAAAGAAAGAACAGTTCTTTTTCGCTAATTTAGCAATTGGCATTTTTGAAATGTTATTTGTTGTAAAAATTACATATTGGCTTTTTTTATACAGTACAAATTTTAATCAGCCTAAAAATGGAGAGTCTTAAAATGAGAAAACTTATTTCAGAAGAAAACAGAAGCCATGCTGCTGTGTGCTTTAGAGAATAGTGCAAAAGCACAGAAATTGTGCCTGGTGTTGAGACCTGCTCAGCAGGGCTGCAGGGGCTTTGCGATAGGGATGTGCTGGGGTGCAAGGCAGCTGAGGCAGCTGCCACTTCCTTTGTTTCTGCCCTTTAGACTTGACCTGCAAAGGGAATGTTCCACAGGGCGGTTTTTAGTGGGAAGAGGTACAGTCCCCAATTTCTAGTCTTCATGGAGGGTCTCAGAGATATGGTACTGGTGGGCATTGTGAATGAGGTGAATAAAAACAGTGTGTCTTGCGGCTGGAGAGAGTGCTCAGCAGTTAAGAGCACTGGCTGCCCTTCCAGAGTACCCAGGTTCAATTCCCAGCACCCACATCAGAGCTCACAACTATCTGTAACTCCAGTTCTAGGGGATCTGACACCCTCACAGAGACATGCATGCAAGCAAAACACAAATGCACATAAAATGATGGATTATTTTTAAAAATAGCATATCTTGAGAGAGTTTATAGTGGAGTTGAAAACAAGCGCAAAGCAATGTCAGACACAGGATGTGATGAGTGTCAGGAGAGAGGGGAGCAGCATGCTGGGCTTGCCCTCCTCTGCTTACTATAATAGACCACCTAGCAGGGGAAAGAAGAGAGCTCCATGCTCCTTACTGAAGAATTGGCTGTTACTTGTGCAGGCAAACTTTTCTTTCTCCTTCTCCATGTATCCTGCCACTCTGCTCTGCCACCCAGAGGAAGAGGGGGCTGCATAGTGGTCTCCTGCTGCAACCAAGCCCTGCTGCTGAGTTCCGAGGACGCTGCATCCCAGGGCAGCTCCCTGCCTCCCTTGATTAGCCTGTGTCAGGGTTGTCAGGGCAACCGTTCGCAGCGGGCAGCGTGTCATCTTTTGCCCTCTGCTGTAAGCGCCTGTTGTGCTGTGCGGCAGCCAGAGAAGACTGGGGAAAGTGCCACCCAGGAAGGAGGAGCCGGGATCTGATTGACAGGTTAAGCAGTCAGTCGGAAGGAAGCATCTGAACCTGACTGGGGAAAGTGCCACAGCAGGAAGGAGGAGCCGGGATCTGATTGACAGGTTAGGCAGTGGGAAGGAGGCATCTGAACCTGTATGTCTTTAATAAGAGTCCTCCCTGGGATGGATGGATGGTGTGTGTGTGCGCGCGCGCACGTGCATGTGTGCGTGTGTGAGAGTGTTTACTCACCAGTGCATGTGCCTATTGGGGGGAGTCAGTAGGAGGGGGCTGCTGCTAGATGAGGGGGAGCTGCAGGGCCTCAGTTGCCAAGTAGCTGGTAGTATCTGTCAGCTGTTTGCACACTGTTTACCCATAAGGGATCTATTACAAGTGCTCAAATGAACCGGCAGCTTAGGAGCTAGCAGCTTCCTGGGAGCTGCAATTACATAAGCATATATTTTTAATATAATTGTTGAACAAGTAGCAGCGGTATGCCTGGATCAGCTACAGCTATCCGACAAGAGAGACTGAAGAAGACCCATGCAAGGCCAATTCCCCTTGGTTTATTCACCATTAATGAGGAAGATGAACAGCAAAAGAATGGAAATTCCAGAAGACCCAAAGGTATGCATTAGCCCTCCCCTTTGGTTGTAGCCAGCCGGATCCAGCTCTTATGCTTCTTATAGTACAGGTTCCAAACTGTACTCAAGGTACCTGCTTCTTGGAGTACCCACGACCTAACACAACTCACCAGTCATGTTTACACTCCCCTTAAAGTGGAGGATGATGAATTGAGAATAATTTTTTTTTTTGCAGATTTAGTCGATTTCAGATCTGCTGTTTCTTAAAACCCAAACTGTTTTCCTACTGTAAAGGTCTTTAATGTCCACTCCTTCATTAAAACAGGGGCCAGTGACTCTGACCTCATCCAGGAAAAGAAATTTGAATTTGAGGGGTTTAAAGGAACAATACCCTCACCTTCCTATAGGCACATTAGATTGTTTTCATTTACTTTAATGAAATGAGTTGTTCTGCAAAAAGGATGGACTGGGTGAAGTGGTTAAAAACAGCCCCTCTCCATGGGCAGAGGATGAGGATGTCTCTGGGTGTTTTTACTAAGATGCTGAGGGACCAGGAAAGAAGGCGAAGTTCCACAGCAACCACAGAAGGTAAAGCCAGGGAGCTAGGAGAGCATTGTGGTGTCTCATAGCTGATAGCTGCTGCTAAGGACTTGTGTGGCAGTTCAAACATGCGGGAGAAAACAGAGAGGTTGAAATGGTGTGGTGTTTTCTCCTACTTCAGACATGTAGCAGCTGGCCAGGCTTAAGTCCCATGTACTGTGTCATCCAAGGCGTTGTCTCATAGCCATTCTCATGCATTTTTGAAGAAGAGCTTTCAGGCTTGTACTTAAGTTTTACAGCATCCTGATTCCCGTAGCCACCTTCCTCAAACTATTCTAGCTGTTCTCTCTAGCAGATGTGGTACCATTTATTTTATTTATTTTTTTTTTGAACTGATTTTTAGCTTGTATTCTGTCACTGGCAAATTATTCTATCACTGATATTATCAAGTTTTCCATAGTATGGCTCAGGGTACCAGCACGGCATGGCAGCCACAAAAGACGAAGCAACAGTAGAATGAGCATAAGCAGAGCCTACTAGCCACTGCTGCGTCCTCCTTTCTGTTAAATGAATCCCCTCGCTTTTGTTAAATAGAACCGACCCTGTCTACTTTAAACCCAGAAGTACTTTTTTCTGCTGGTTTAAAAAACAGAGGTTTTAGCAAATAGAATCTTATTACTGAAGTTGACTTCTTTTTACCGTCAGGGATCCTGTCTGAAGATCAAATGACCTCAGAGATTCAAAGCTGCTGTAGGGAAGGTGCCTCTCCATTTGCCCAGGAGGTGGCAGTTGAGCCAGAGTCTGTGAAAACACTTTGAGTGGTTAGTAGCAGATCATCCAGCCTCTGAGGAGCTGGTAACTTTTTACAGTTAATGCACGCTTTCTGAAGTATTCCCACAGTCAGTGTATTTGTCAAAACAAGGCCCTTTCCTTGAGTGTCTGGAACAATCATTCAGGATAGCTACCCAATTGTTCTGGATAGTTTTCATGACTTTCTCTTCCTCTCTCCTTCTTTGATTTGGTTTGGTTTGATTTTTTTTGTTTGTTTGTTTGGTTTTTTTTTTTTGTTTTCCCCTTCTAATTAAAAGCTGCCCTTGGATATTTTATTTAAAAGAAGGGGGGGGGAGGGAAAGGTCAGAATTTCTAAAGATGTTTGGGTTTTGGCAATTTAAGCACCAAGAGTCATAAATCAAGGAGTTCTTGATTCCCTTGCCATTCATTTATCCCCTTTCATGTCTGCACACAGGCATGGACACACACACACAAACATGCACAAGATGCTGGGGAATGATGTGGGGGTGTGTGGGAAGGATTGCATTCTAATAAGGATGACCAGGGTTTCTTTACATCCCAGTATGTCTTTAATTTGTGACACAGGCAACAGATGAGCCAATGGATAATTCTAGATAGCACTGATTCTGCTTGATGAGTAAAAGTTCTTTGCCTTTGATCTTGAGTTTCTGTTCAGGCATCTGATGAATAGGGATGTCCACTTATGTCCAGCTCTGCCTGCTTGCATGAAGTAGTCCTGAGTTCAGTCCCAAGCTTATCATAAACTGGGTGTGGTGGCCATCAATATATCCCCAGAATCAGAAGTTCGAGCTCACCTTTGGCTACATAGGGAGTTTGAAGGAAGCCTCTGCTGCATGAATACTTGTCTCGAAAAACAAAACCAAACTTTAAAAGCCGTGTCATGAAACCTACACACCTTTTCAGTGCACAGTTGCCTGCACAGACAATTCATTCCTTCTTCTCCAGGTATTCCTTACAGTTGCCTTTGTTGTATTATATCATCTTTTGCAACTTTTAATGGATCTTCTACTTCCAAAACAACCTGATGATACAAGTTGTTTTTTATGATTAACTATTAAGATAAGCAATCAAATTTGGGTTTCTTCCCACTCCACAGCCTAATCAACCAGCCCTGTCTAAACCTGGTGCACAATACTGGTTTGCATGCCTAATGCCTTTTTTCTGTCGTTATCATTAATAAAGAACCTTGCTATCTGAATTCATTAAGCTGAGTGCTACTGGCGAGGATTGCTCTGGGTTAGGGATGAGTGCTGTCTCTTCGGGTGTGATACTGTTGAGTAACCATCACCAGGCTCTCACAGGAATGAACCGTGTGACTGCCATCTAGACTCCTGGGTAGTGTGGCCTCTGAGTTACATGGTGGACTGAGTCAGGAATTTGGTCAGCTAATAGACAGATCAATTCTTAAAGCAGTGAGCACTTGTCCATGGAATTGGAATGCAATGTTTTACATGCCTTACAGTTGCTGACACATAGTGTTTATATAATACTGGAGCAAGCTAGGCTGATACTGCTGTTTGCATGTCTCCAAATGCTGAATCTCTGTGTAATACTGACCTCGGGCCTGCCTGAGCGAAGTCTTTTAGGTACTGTTGTAAGTAAATGCCTTTGCTAGGTTTCAAGGCATGCTTGCAGAATTTTTCCAAGCATGGTGTGTTATTAAGTAATGAGGCATTTTTTTCCTTTGTTCATTAGCTGTTCACTGTGGAAGTATTCTTTAGGAGTGTTGCAGAAGTGTTGTCATGCAAAGATAATTGAGTATTTTTGCCCTCAGAAGTGTGTTAACTGTCTAGTAGAGGAGGACAAATGCAGCCAATAATATGAGTGAAAATTGAAATGGTGGGGGGGGGGACTCAGAAGAAGGGAGGGAGCGACGGAAATGTGGATGATGTGCTCATGACAAAGCAGTTAGCCTGGAGACTGAAGCAGGAGGATCACAGCAGATGCCTGAAGCCTATCCCAGACATCTGGATGAGGATGGAAAAGCATCTGGAAGCACATATAGGGCCCAAGGCAGGAAGTAGGATGAATGGTTGAAAGGTTTCTTTAAAAATAATACCAAAACCTAGTTACAGATATGTGCCACCACTCCTGGTTCGGCTTGATTTTTATATAAACCTGATTGGCTTCCAGCCCCAGTGCTAAGTTTATTTGTGAGACTTGACTCCAAATAACTTATTTTTAAAAAATTACCACCTTCAGAAGATGACCCTATCTGTGTCTGCGCAGTCTCTCTGCCTCCTGCCTCCATGCTTCCTCTCCAGTCATCCTCCGGGACACAAGGCAAAGGCCTCTGGGACAGCAGGTCTCCTCACCTCACATGCTTTGGAGCCTCCTGATGGCAATGCTCCCCTGAAGACAATGTCACAACCATGACTCCCAGCCATCTTTGGTCTATATAGGTATTTCCATTTAGCGCCTGGTGTCTTGTTTATTTTATTTTTGAATAAACCTCCATTGGAGAGTTTGTCCCACTCATCTGGAGTTTAGCTTCCCTCTGTCTTGGATTACTTTCGATTGCTATGACAAAGACCAACCAAATGCAATTTATTGAGGAAGAGGTTGTTTTCCAGTTACGGTTGCAGTCCCCATGAAGGGAAGTCAGCAGAAACTCAAGGTGGGAACCTGGAGGTAGGAACTGAAGCAGACACCATGGAGGATGCTGCTTTTTGCTTTGCTCCTGCTCGTTGGCACAGATTGTTTTCTTATAAAGCCCCCAGAACATCTGCCCAGGTGTGAGCACAGTGAGCAGTGAGCATCTGCCCACAGTGAGCAGAACCATCCCTTAGCAATCATTAACCAAGAAACTACCCCAGAGATTGCCTGCTGGCCAATATGAATGAAGTATTTCCTCTATTTATGTTCCTGCCATGTGTCAAGTTGAAAAAAAAAAAAATCTAACCAGGATACCTGGAAAAATTGGAAGGCATGCCACACCTGGTCATTTCTTCTTCTCAATAATTAGCAAAAGCTAATTGGCAGCTACCATACAGAGGAGTCATGCTTCCAGTATAACCCATTCTATAACAGAATGTGCACCAACTGGTCTACCTCTGTTGCTGCATTGCCATGACCATTTGTTTTTAATTAAAGTCCTTGACCTAAAAAAATAAAATAAAATAAAATTCAAACTCCTTACCCTGGATGTGAGGTTTCCTGTGGTCTGGTCCTTTCTCCCTCATCATTCTCCCCCTTTAACTGTTCAAACTCTGTGCCCTAGCTGCACCAAAAGCATGACATTTCCCTGTCCCCTTATTCTCCTCTGTGTCCTTATGGCCTTCCCTTGACCCTTACACATGGTTTGGAATCAGATCAGATGTTTTAGACCTCCCTTCCTCACTGGGCTCCTCTAAGAACCCTCTCCCCTCACTGCCAGCCTCCCCATCCTGGTGCAGAAGGGCAACCTTTCACCATGCTTCTTCGATCCTGAGTCTGAGCTTGGGTCTCTTCTGCTGCTCGTCATTGGCTACACCTGCATACTCTACCTGGCCCTTAGACTGGAAGCCTAAGGCCTGGGCAGAGTGTATAGAGTGATGAAGAAGGTAAATTTAGCATCCAAAATAACTTCTACAGGCTCTAAAGGTCTGATGGGGATTCTAAGAAACATGGGGAGCATTAGAAGTGACCCTCCAAGATAACTCCTGACAGTGTGTATTCCCTGGCAGTCACATTATTCTACCACACTGCGTT